CATTGCTAATGCTGAATTAAAAATCTCATTATTTTAACAATTCGAGATCTTTTCTCCTCCCCGCTACGCTGATTATTTTATGATAGATATAAAGTAAAAACTGCGTTAAAATTAATCTACTTTTTTTTTCTTGATTAGTTTTTATTTCTATTGCTTGCTTTTATTTTCCCGCATTTAATCTATACTTTTTTACAATTTTTTTTTCTCTTCTTCTTCCATTTCTCTTCTTAATCTCTTAATTTCTTTTCACATTTCCAATCTTCTCTTAAACTTTTTCTTTATTAGTCGATGGCGTGATATCATTTTTTTTTTATTTATTCACGGTTCATAATTGCCAATGTCATATCAGAATATCAGATCGACCAAAAATGAAGAAGTTATGAATGTGAAATTTATTCAGAAAAAAAAAAGGACATTGTATGAAAACGAGTAGAAAATTCAAGAACAAACTCAAACAATATTGACAAATATTAATTAGTATTGATTTTTACTAAAATTTGCGTTATGCACAGTGTCCTTTCAGGATGTGGTCGATCATGGCTCTCCACAACTTCTTTTTTTTAACAATAAACAATGCTTACCTGTTTATTACCTCCCTAGTCTCTATTCTAATGCCCGTTCAGAAGCTCGTTACATATCTTACTCGTTGGTTCCCTCTGCTTTTTCTCGCCTTCAGCAAGTCTGTCAGTGTTAAATTCTCTAAGCCTTCTTTCCTCAGAAAATGTTAACGTTTTTTTTTTTCTGATTTTAACTCTAGATGTTACCATTTTGCTTAAAAGTTCTCAGCATCCACATCTCTTTTGCTTCAGGTTTCTTCATCTTTCTAGAAATTGTACTGCCTTCTCTGCTTTACAGGAAGTTTGATAATACAGATCTGTTCAGTGTTCTTTTTCTTTGCTTTAACAAAATCTTCACGTCTCTTGATACTTCGTTTAGCTTTTGGAAGGCATCATTTAAACAATTAAAATACGCGTTTTTTTTTATTGCAGTGTCATATTTTCTGTAAGTTTGTATTGCCAAGAAAATAAAAATAAAAACCTCAAATAAAATAAAAATGTTTATACCTACACTGTTGTAAACAAACAGCAGTAAATAACTTTGATTATGTTCAGCAACGTGACTTCATCAAAGGGAGTTATGGATGGAGTGATAAAAGCCACATTTCTCATATATCACGATGTGATTAAACGGACACCCGTGACCAAATCACAAAGGCATCCAACGAAGTACACGTATATCAGTGACTTTGATCATGCTGTCCATATACACCTCTAGTCAAAATCTTACGACCAGATACAAAATGGTTAAAAAAATATATATATATATAAAATACTGTTACTTTAATCAAAATATATTTGGGAAACATTTGCATTTAATTAGAAAATATAGTTTATCAACAAACAAGTGAACATTTTAAGCTTTTAATTTATTAATTTAAACAAACATTGAAAAAAGGATTTTTTGGTTGGTCATAAAGATAAGACTATGCGTGAAAAACAAATTACTTAAAACAAAAATCTTAAAACTACTCAGTGCGCTTATAACTTCAGGCGTGTAGACGTCTACCTAGCTCATTTCCAGAATTAAATTTCAGATTTTAAAATGGCTACTGGTAACATTTTAACAAAGGTCGAATAGGGAAAGATTATTGAACTTTAAAGATGTGATCTTTCGCAACAAGCCATTGCAAATGAATTTGGCTCTAGCAGAACTGGTATTGATAACTTCATTAAAAATCCGGATGTGTATGCTTCTAAAAAATCAAGCGGCCGCCCCAATAAAATCTCGCCATCTCTAGACAGACGCATTAAGCGAAAAGTTAAGAGAGATTCATGCCTAACATAAAATCAGATAAAAGAGAATGCAGATGCTGAATGCAGCTCTCAAACAATTCGACAGCATTTAATTTAAAAAGTCTTTAAGATCTTGAAACGGCTACAGAGACCTCGCCGTCTTCTTTGCTACAAAACCTCCCGTTTATAATATGCTTCCTATTATCAAACTTGGGATGTGGATAAATGAAATAGTGTTGTTTTCAGAAAAGTGTTTGTTTGACGAAAAAAAAATCAATCTTGATGACCCAGACGGTTTTCAGCGTTACTGGCATACAAAAGATGTCCCAAAAGAAATGTTCTCAACACGACACAGTGGAGGTGGATCAATTATGGTCTGGTGTTCATTTTCATACAATGGAAATCTTCAGTTACAGGAGGTAAAAGTTCGTCAAACAGCTGCTAATTACATTGACAAGTTAAGAAAGGCATCGCTAATTATTGAAAGCCTTCATCTATGTAGAGAAAGCTGGATTTTCCAGCAGGACAATGCTGCAATTCACAACGCTCTCCAGATCGAAACCCAATCGAGAATGTTTCTGGATGGATGGCAAAGGATGTTTATAAGCATTGATCGCAATTTGAAACTGTGGATGCTCTTCCTCCGGCAGTTTATGCATCATGAGCGAGCATCACAAGCACCCCCATGCAGAAGTCAATAATGAGTATGCCAAAGCAAATTTTCGAAATAATTCGTAAAAATGGAGGATATACTAAATATTAAATTGTCGTTGTAACTTATTTGTTCTGTATTCGCTATTTTTATTTACATGGTATTATCTTTATGACCAATCAAAAAAAAAAAATCCTTTTTTCAATGTCTGTTTAAATTAATTAATTAAAAGCTTTTAATTTTCACTTTTTTGATGATAAACTACATTTTCTAAGTAAATGTAAATGTTTCGCAAATATATTTTGATTAAAGTAACAGTATTTATATTTTCTTAACCCTTTTGTATCTGGTCCTAAGATTTTGATCAGGAGTGTTTAAGGTCACCAGCAAGCATTTCATGAAGGGAAAAGGTGGCTTGTGTATGGATGCTGTGCTGAGACTCTGGTATATTAGTTACTTGTTTAAAGGACGCTCTCCGTGCGAACTTTTAAGCTAACTCTTGCGGAGAGCTAATTGAGTCTCAAGCCCAAAACTAAAATGGCCTCTGGTCCAACGTAGAAAACAGCAATGATAATTTTGGAGAAATAACTTTGAATTCCTTAATTTTTTCCATGGAACTTCAAAACCTCACTTTAATTCTGATTCGAGTTATAAGGCCCGATTTGGGTCGAAAGTCAGATTTAGGCCGAAACTACAATTCAGGCCGAAAAATGAACTCGTCAAATCACAAACTCCTTGGAAATTCACATTTTGGACCCTCTCACTTTAACTCTTCCTTGGTATTTTGAAGAAATAAGATTGATTTCCTCAATTCACAAAGTTTTGGAGATATTTTAAACTCTATAAATTACAAATATTTTAATCTGTAGGTAAATATTAGTCGCATATTACTTGGGCTTCGTACAAGTAAATATTTCTTACATGATTCTATAGATAAATATTAGCTGTTTATACGTGAACCAGATGTTAAATATTGTCCGTTTATACTTGTGTATATACGTGTTAATACCCTTGAAAAAGTTATGCATTCTCTTCTTCTCACCACAGATATGGGTAAATATCAGGACAGACCGGCTTCTGTAATCTTGGATAGCAATTGGTCTACCGCATGAAGAGATGGCAAACTACTGCGGAAAAAAAGTCTGCCTCGTCATGTATCTAAAGTTACATGATCGCCTAAGCGTGTATCACGCATGGCACATAACGGACTGAGGGAGGCACTGTGGAGTAATTGATAGCGGCTCGGTTTGCCTCCATTCATTCCACAGTGATCCAGATTCAACACGGAGGCCTACATCAACTGCCTTGAGGAGTTAATGCTGTTCTGGGTCAAGAGGGTGGCTGCTGGAAGACCGTGTGTCTGACAACAGGACTTTGAACCATGCCAAACAAGCAAGAGAAATAGTCATGGCTTCAGACAATTTCTGCGACCACATCACCCCTTACATCTAGCCACCTAACTACCCAGACTGCCACTCCCTTTATTATTGTGTGTGGGCAGTATTGAGCAATAGACCAACAAAACTCCTTGTGACAGCAAAGATGAACTGAAGGTAAGTCTTATGAAAGCATTCACCAACTTAAAGAAGGAGACTACACAGAAGAGTTTTAGGAGATTCCGACGTCCTCTGGAATCAGCGGTTGAAACCAATCGCCATTTTACTGAATAAATCTACTTTTTAGTATTCCAAAATATTTCTGTGTAATTTTGGTAAATATACCTGTTAAAATGAAATGTCACTGTTATTCTTATCCCCGTCTAATTAAGACAGCGATTTATCCATCGCACCCTGTACTTGTAAATGTATCATAATTAAGAAAAAGAGGATCTTTATAATATTTGAAATCTTGGTCACGTTTGTTAAGCAATCATGGCGATCGTGTTTTGTTTTGTCACATCATCAACATGTTCTTTTACTGAGTCAATAAGACTAGAAATAAATAACACAATGATGTTAACAATAGCAATTCACACCACATTTGAAAAGTTCTTATTTTAACTTATGCTTTCACTATACACTTTGCAGGTTTTCCTGATGAGAACGATATCGTATGTTTTGGTCACGACTTTTTTCAGATATAACCTTAGTTTTTTTTTAATTTTATTTTTACTATTCGTTCTTTACCTTTCTTTATCTATTGAACGTTCTCTTGAGAGGTATATATACTTTGTAAGGGTCGCCAGACGAACTGATATTACTTTTTATTTTAATTTAATATTTATACATATCGGCCATGATTTTTTACCTTCTGCACCTGGATATTTCAACAAATCCGGAATCGATGTTAATATTAGAACCGAATAACACCGTGACGCTTATTTTTAGTCATTAATGGTTTCTTGTAGTCTTTGCAGTTCGGGTTTACGTGGGGAAAACAGGAATTTTAATGAGGAAAAAACGAAATTTATAAAAAAACTGAGTGACGTCATATCGTGACAGAAACTTATTTACCCAAGAGCGGCTGACGAGATATCTCGTGAGAAAATTATTTACAATAGAACGGCGGACGAGATATCGCGTGCGAAATTTATTTACCCCGAAGCCGCTGACGAGATGTCGCGTGCGAAATTTATTTACACCGGAGCGGCTGACGAGATGTCGCGTGAGGAATTTATTTACACCGGAGCGGCTGACGAGATGTCGCGTGAGGAATTTATTTACAACGAACGGGTGACGAGATGTCGCGTGAGGAATTTATTTACACCGGAGCAGCTGACGAGATTTCGCGTTTAGGAATTTATTTACACCGGAGCGGCTGACGAGATGTCGCGTGAGAAATTTATTTACACCGGAGCGGCTGAAGAGATTTCGCGTTTAGGAATTTATTTACACCGGAACGGCTGACGAGATGTCGCGTGAGGAATTTATTTACACCGGAGCGGCTGACGAGATGTCGCGTGAGGAATTTATTTACAACGGAGCGGCTGACGAGATGTCGCGTGAGAAATTTATTTACACCGGAGCGGCTGACGAGATGTGACGAAGATTTCACCGGAGTTGACGAGATGTCGCGTTTAGGAATTTATTTACACCGGAGCGGCTGACGAGATGTCGCGTTTAGGAATTTATTTACATCGGAGCGGCTGACGAGATATCGCATAAAGGATTTATTTACATCGGAGCGGCAGACGAGATGTCGCATGAGATATTTATTTGCACCGGAGCGGCTGACGAGATGTCGCGTTTAGGTATTTATTTACACCGGAGCGGCTGATGAGATGTCGCATGAGGAATTTATTTACACCGGAGCGGCTGACGAGATGTCTCGTAATAAATTTATTTACCCCAGAGCGGCTGATGAGATATCTCGTGAGGAATTTTTCAACCCCAAGGTTTCTGATGACATATCGCGTACGAAATTTATTTAGTCTAAACGAGATGATATATCACAAATTTATTAAACCAAGAGATATATCGTGAGAAATGTATTTACTCTCGAGCGGTAGACGATATATCTTGTGATAAATTTATTTATCCAGGAGAGGCGTACATGCTATCTCGTGCGAAATTTATGGAATATGTATTGCTCTTTCTAATAACCATCTGGGCATAAATATCGCGTTCCTTCTTCCAGCATCTTTGATGAACTCGCACTGTTGTTGTTCTTTTCTGGTTTGATTCTCCCCCGCGTGCTATTCATCTGAATTCGGATAATTTTTGTTATATGGCTCCTTAGAGTGATTGTCAGTTGAAGTTCACATTCGTTTGCACCTGGCTTCTTAAGCAGTACTATAAAAAATAGATCTACTTACGTCTTCCGGTATGTCACCGCTGTTGTAGTTTTCATTTATCATTTCTGCAATCTTCTTTATGCTGAATAGAAATAATAATGTAATAGAGATGCTGGCAGCCTAAGAAGATTAGGCTGCCAGCATCTCTATTACAATTCCGTCTGGTCCCGCCGCTTTGTTTCTGTTCAATTTGACCAATGAAGATTCCAATTCAGATTTTAATCTCTTCGGTCCGTCGGTATTTCTAGGTATTGCCGGTTGTTCTCTTTCCTCATGGAAGGATTTTCCAATATATTCGTCCCATATCAGAAGTATTTTTCTTTCTCTAACATCATTGTCTCATTTTTGGATTTTATGCATCCTGTTGATGAGCATGTATTTTGTCCTGTTAATTCCCTTATGTTTTATGCACATCTGCTTTATCTGTGATACTCATTCTTTCTATTTCTTCACATTTTTCGTTAAGCCAACCCTCTTTGGGTCGCCTGCATTTGTTCTTTATATGTGTAGTGTCCTGTTATGTTACATGTCATGGCATTGTTTTTTGTAACCTTTTCATCGTGTCGATAAATTAATCTGTCATCCATTTTTTTTCTTCTTCTATTTCCCTTTTGTGACGATCACGATTGCTGAGATTATTAATGATTTTCCACTTAGTGTCCCCATTTTCATGTTGCCCCTCGTATATGCTTTTCACAGGGTCCATATATCTCTCCTGTAGGGTCGTTCAAGATTCTGTCGTATTGCAATTTCGATTAGTCCCATATTTATTTCCAAGTTATAAAAATTGTTATCGTAAAAACAAATTTCGTCGCAAAAAATCACGTACAAACAATCACATTAATGAAAACTTGGGAATCCAAAATTTCAGGATTGCAGGTCTGGATCCGACCCGAAATATTTCTAATTTCCTCACGGAGTCGGCCTGATTCCAAAATGGTATGAGATGTTGGGCTATGGCCTCTAGGAGTAATGTTTAAAAAGTGTGGCACAGTGACACACTGATATTCGCAATTATTATATAGACTAATTATTACTTAATTATTTCATGTTTATTTTAATTATTTTTTGGTTATTTTCTGAGTGAATTTTGAGCATGATCATGATTACGATTTCGTAAATAAAAAAATACAATATGAAGTATATAATGACACTGAACAAATTCGCTTGAGATATTTCTATTACTTTCAATCATTAGTGCTTTGACGTAGATTCAACTCAGTAATCATCTCAAAAGTTTGTGGAATGGAAGACGGAAATAAGCACCAAGTCAGTCAATCATCAAAGGACAAAAATGGTTTCTGAGTCGGAGGACCGCGCATCCTTCCCGTTAATAAATTAATCCTTTGAAAATAAATATCTAACGTTTTTCAACCAATTAGTCAATAAAAAAAACTTGCTTCATGATCCCGTTGAAGGGTATTTAATTAAAGTCACTAGACGGATAAAACCAGTAAGGAAGTAAAGAACGAAAACAGACGGCAACAGTGCACGACGAAATCTTTAAAGAGATTCCCTTACTAATTCATTTGTCTTCCTTAGTAAGCTACGTGACACTTACACTCCTCTTCACTAAGCAACGTTACACAGACAGGCTTCTTCACCAAGCTACGTTACACTTACACTTTCCTCGCACTTTCTCCCTTACCGCTTTTCCTCTTACATACACACGGAGAAAATCCAGTTCTTTTCATCTTAACCTATTCTTTAACACAAGAACTTTAATACTCGTAAACCTTGTGAGAAATTAGTTGTAAAGAAATGAAAAGAAAAATATTTTATATTTTTATATTTAAAAATTTTTTCATCATTTTTTTTCTTGTGGGTTGATTCAAATCCGCAACAAGTGCTTCCTTCAGAGTGAATCGCCTTCCAAAACGAGGCTTGTCGGTTCTGTCACAATTACTATTTGAAACCTTTTAAAGCCTAGTTGATAATTACGAGAAATGTAGAAATGTTTTTAAATGCCTCTATATAGCTATATATTAGCAATGGCAACTTTTTTGTATGATAAAAGTATACAAAGACCAAATCACCATGTACACACTCACAGACAACTAGCAAAAATCTCTTCCCCTTGTAGGAAAAGTCAATTGTTTTTATAATAGTTTGGTGGACCCTTATCAGGCTTTCGATTTTGTGGAGTATGGAAATGGATTAGCATATTTTTCTATGTAATCCATTCCAGTTAGTAAAACTTGAAGCACTATTGGTTAGCAGAAGCTAATTTACATGAGCTCGCTGACGTCATGTAGTGTCAAATCATTTTTCTTTCTTTCTTTTTTCTTTTTTTCTTCTGCAGAAGCAGCTTGCGACACGAAAGCGTTTTGGCCTTCGGGTATGTTCACACTTTCTTCTGTGGAAATCCTCCACGGAGTTAGTCTCAAAAATGCCCTAGAAACATTATAACGTCAGATAGAAGAAATACTAAACTACTTTTAGCGTTCAACCTGGATTCTGCTTTAGTTGGTTGATTGATAATTCATACCGGTGAATTACTTACCGAACACATTAATAGATGTTTGTTTTCGTTTTAGTTTTAATTTTTTTCTCCAGTCTTCAACCTCGTGGTTGCCTTCAGAGTTGAAGATATATTAGGTTAATTAAAAATAATGACGTAATAATGTCGTTTTTTGACGTATTTTTAACGTAAAAAAAACGACATTATTACGTCATTATTTTTGCACCAACCTAATAGTTTTTGTAATATCTGCAATTTCTCGGTAAGTCTACGAGAGAACAGATCTTACCTCGAATCCGCTTAGAAGATTACAATTTGAGGTCAATTCGAAAAACGAAAGTACTGTTAATAAACAATACAAAAACATATTTCTACAAGGGAAATATGAAATCATGAGTACGGTTGCTTTAATACTGGAAAGTAATAATGGCCATAGTATTTGTATGTCACGGTAACAACTTCTCAGATATTTTTCGGTTACGTCTTGATAACGCTCACGTCAGACAGTTATGTGCCATGCGTGATACACGTTTAAGCGATCATGTATCTTTGGATATGACTGAGGAGGCAGATATTTTCCCGCAGTGGGTTGCCATTTCTTTCTGCGGTAGACGATCCAAGGCTTTAGAACCCGGTCTGTGCTATTTACCCATAGCTGGGGAGAGAAGAGGATTCGTACCTTCCCCAAGTGTATTAGCACGTGAGTGAATGTAATGAATACGACTGGAATTCGAACTAGGATTTCCGATTTCTCAATCCGAACCGCTATCCATGTTAACGTTAAAAATCCCAACAACCAACCAGCTTCATCGTATTTCTTCTTATATGTCTTTTTTCCGTGTTCCCTCCCTCTGTTTTGGTATTATTTTAAACACGGTTGTTGAAAATAATTTTTCTTTTCAACTACTCCATCTTATTTGACATTTTTTCTGTAGAATTTTAATCATTGTAATATTTTTGTATCTTTTTTATCAATAAATTATGATCCCTCTTTTAAAGAACATTTTAACTACCTCCACTCCTCAGCAATATCTATTGCTTTAAAAAGCGATGATTAGATTTGTAATAAAACTTAAACAATTGGATATCAATTGGCACTACTTCAGGTAAGTTTGTGTTGTTAATATTCGTTACCCGTTTTCAAGGAATCCATTTTGAAATTACTCTCATTCTAAACTCAAACTGTTAACACTCAGTCGGTGTGTAATATGAGCTAGAAAAAAAAATTACCAACTTGTGTAGATCATTTTAAACCTGATTCATCATCATTATTTCTTATTTCTCTTTCATCATCTTTTTCAGATAAGCCCTTGATTCCGCCCAGATATCCATCAGTTGAACGTAAGTCGTCAATTATCTTGAATGCGATTATGTCTTTATTACCGTTCCGGAATAAGGTTTGCTTCTCTGAAATCATTGAAGCTTATTTCAGAAATTATTATTTGTTTTTTATTTTCTTTCCATATGAACGCCGATTAGAAAAAAAAGATCTTTAATAATTTTATTAAAACAGAACAAAATGGCCGCTGAAAGTAAGCGCAGTAAAGAATTCGGAGAGTTTTTTCTTTTTCTGAGGGGGGGCACTATTTTATACAATTCTGCCTACAAATTCAAAACATTTTTCCTAGCCTATCGATACTTACACTATCTGAAGAAAACTGAAGTGCTTACCTTTACACCCATCATTCCAACGACACAAACTTGT